AACTTAAAGTTTTATGGTGACGATAAGTGTAATGTTGAGCTAAACATGATGGAAGCCCAGTTCAGAGTCATGGCCTGGATTGCTATCACAACACTGCCATCTAGTGGCACAACAGAGAGACACCACTGTGGGAACTAAGAGTAATAGAAGAAACACAGCGAGGTGAAGTCATTTCATTGAATGAAGACTTGCTTAAAACATCAGGGACAAAAATCTGCTTTGACAATGTCATGAACTTAAACTACATGTGACTGGAAATGTGAAAGACTTTGTGAGACTTTTAGTGGAACTGAGATATGACTGATCTTATCTGTGAGACCTGTGCTTTCCTGTCGTGGGAAAGAGTCATCTGTTGGAAGCAAACACATTAGTTTACTCCTGAATATTTCAAGTTATCCATTATTTAAATTGTCTGTATGAAGGTAGTTGCACCATTTATAGCCAAACCTATGAAGTTCAATTTAGGCTGCTCTTTCAAAACAATTCAAACGATTCATGGCATGCATGCAGCTACGTGATGGCTTCCAAAATTAGACAGTATTTGACCTACTAAACTCAAACACCTGCTTTAGAGATTTTATAACAGCAGCCATTTGTTTATGCACAATATATCATTAAAAACAGTCACACGTACTGACTACCTTAACCTGTTGTGTTGTATTCCACATCAAACTTGTATTATTGCACACTGGTATCTTGATTTGGTGACAGTAAATTGGAAAATAACAACAGATTGTGCTCAGTGTGAAGGATTAAGCAAGTTTTAACGTGTCACCGGTGTGCAAAGACAACTCTTGTTTAAATGTGGATCATGGATTGAGCCTTCAACGGGACGGCAGCGTCATCTAATGGATTGATCACATCTTTCATGAGATGTTCGGTTGCCACCAGGGGTTGCACAAGTGCCTTCTGTGCCATTGCCAGACACCAGCCTTGTGCATAATATCACCGAGTTATGAAATCAAATTGAAAGGCCACGTCATAGACACTGGTGGAAAGTACATTTACTCAAGTACATTTTGCAGATTTAGATTGATAATACAAAATATAATCAACAAGTTTTTCTTTATTTATTTTACCTTTATTTTTCCAAGTAAGTTAGTTGAGAACTGGTTCTCATTTTCAAATAAATGATTATGTAATATCATAGATCAAGATAACACATTATTGACCCACAAGAGGAAATTCACAAGAAGATAAACCGTGTAAATAAGTCAAATCATCTTTAGTAGCTTTAACATTTAAGGGAAAAACACGTGTCTATAAATATAATCCAGTAATATAAGATATTGTAAAAGGTGTCATTCTGCTTGTTTTCTGAGTACTAATACTTTTGGTACTGTAAGTATATTTTGATGTTAATACTGTTGCACTTTAAGTAAAGTGAGAAAAAAGCTGTTTTTACTTGTAATAGAGTATTTCTACTCTGTGGTATTGGTACTTTTACTTAAGTACAAGATTTGAGTACATCTTCCTCCCTTTGACATATTCATCATTTTAATGCATTCAGCCATTCACCAATATCACAACAGTCATCTGAAGTGTTCCTGGCCCGGTTTTACAAGGATATGGGGCACTTTATATCATCAAAAGTTTCTACCACCCACTTGTGTTATGACAAAATCAGCACTTCTCGTTTTTCTTCTCATCCACCAACCACCAGCCGTCACACATTGGCCAAAGGTTCCCTCTCACATCGTGCACATTTTCTGTATCTCGTGGTGATTCAACATAATATTTAGCTTTGAACAATTCATGGCTCACACAGAAGTCCAGTCACAACAAACCTGATTCACTGAATTGTTTCTTTTAAGCCCCCTCCTCCTCTCAGTGTTTCTCAATAGTTTCCAACATGGCTGCTGAAGGATGTTGAGTAGTTCAAACCTCTGGTAGGTTTTACACTCTCCAGATGGTGAAGTTTGATTTCTGAGTCAACAGAGAACCTGAATGTGACCCTAATCTCTCTCCATCGCACAAGATCCTTAGCATTGCCACTGTTCTTTTGCACATTTAGGCATTTGCACATTCTCCACGCTTACCTTGTGCGGTTTCAGAAGTTTGCTGTTTCATCTCTCGGCTGTCTAAACTCTTATGTAATCTTGTAACTGTACAGATTGTCTTAAATCTCATGCTCTTTTATGGAGCCTTCAAAAAATGTTCACAAACACATACAGAATAGAGACCAGGTAGGCGTGTTGCTTGTTGAATTTGCCGCAAAGACACAAACACATCCATAAGTGTAAATATAACACAACAGCACATGGGGAATTATTACAAACACAAACACATATATCTAACAGTAACACAAACACACTGAGGGATTTCAACGTTAGCTGTTATAACTCAAATTTTTTTTCTTTTTTTTCTTTTTTTTTTTACTGCTGAGTAGCTATAGCACAGACACAGAGTAAACAATAAATGAATCATCAGTTTCTCTCCAAATAAAATGGGAACTTTGTACTTGCATTGGAAGTGAAAGACTGACCCTGCATTTAGGTAAAAGTACAGATACCACAATTAACAAATACTCTAATACAAAGAAAAGGCATGCATTTCAACTGTTACTTAAATAAAAGTACCAACGTATTTGCATTAAATAGACTTAGAGTACTACATGCGTAAGTACCTATTATGAAGAATGGCATATTATACTGCATAATGTGTATCATATTTTTTGATTAAAATTACTGATGAATTATCATTAAACTGTTCACCAGTTTGATGCTGAAGCTGGAATGAGTAGTATAACTTTTATATTGTTTATCTGCTGTCCCAGTGAGGACACCCAGGATCTTTCTGCGTGGAGTTTGCATGTTCTCCCCGTGCAGCGTGGGTTCTCTCCGGGTTCTCCGGCTTCCTCCCACAAGGTCCAAAAACATGTTGAGGTTAATTGGTGATTCTAAATTGTCCGTAGGTGTGAATGTGAGTGTGCTTGGTTGTCTGTCTCTAAGTGTAGCCCTGTGATAGACTGGTGACCTGTCCAGGGTGTCCCCTGCCTTCACCCAAAGTCAGCTGGGATAGACTCCAGCCCCCCATGACCCTCGTGAGGATCAAGCGGTGTATAGATAATGGATGGATGGATGGATGGATGGTTGGATGGATGGAAATTAAAACTGCAAAGTCACTGAAGTCATCAAATGAATGCATTGGAGTACAAGTAGCAGTACAAGTACCTCAAAATTGTACTAAAGTATGAATAAATGTACTTAGTTACTTTTCACCACTGACTTGCATAATTATGCCCAATTATGTGGTATGCAGTTAGTCTATTAATGTCAGAATCCTCAGATGGGTTACAGTCACACCACCAGCTGCTTTACCATCTGTTTTTCTTCCACCATATTTTCAAGTATTCAGGAGATTCAGATTTTATTTCTGCCAGTAAGTTGCAGTCATAAAAATTATGCCCTGAAGCAAACAACATAATTCCTAATTCGCTGTTAATTAATAAACTTCAAATGTAGTTAAATGCAAACATGAGCTATTTTATATAAATGTGTATAGATATCTGTATACTTGGTGACAGCCTCTTTAACTGTAAATGATTCAGGCCACTATGTCCTGAAGTCGTGGGTGGTGTTACAATATATTACACATGACTCCAGTTTGTTGACTCTGTTTTAAACACCATCATGCTCCAGCAGCTCAAATGCAGACTTTGCCAACTTGATGTTGAGCCTGCCTGTTTACGCAGCAGGATTTTTGTGCGTCTGACTCACTCTAAGATGTGGACTTAAAGATTTGACTTCTGGAGAAAGACGATTACATGTCTACAATGGAAATCCATTAATTAAAGTCCCTAAAAACCACATCTCTGTGTATCAAAGTTGCATATTTAGAAATTGTCCCCCCCCCCCCATTATAAACAATCCCTTCCTGCTTTAAAATTAGAGATACTGAAAGCCCCACCCTGCTAATCTGATGTGATTGGTTCATTAGGTTTGTTACATATGGAACCCCAGAAGTCTGAATCAGTGATTTTAAAGCTGTTATGGGCATGTTGCAGTTGGCAGAAATGACATGGCATTGACTGACTATTTCACTCATTATATGTCTTGTAGAATAGAAGAGAACAAAACATATGGACATGCTTTAGATTAAGGAGTCCTTAAGTTTGGAGTCCACCATCATAACAATAAAAAGGTAATAAACTGCACCCATCCTGTGCACAACCTCCTTGTATTCCCAGCAAACCAACAAAAAAGCCTTTATGTGATTCGACAAGAATCTTAATGATGTGAATGTTTTGAATCTGAGGTTTCTTGCACTCCAACTCCCATCACATCACATTTTTTTGCAACCTAACCCATAACCTCAATATTAGTGATTGCTTCAGTGCATTTTGCAAAAGGAGACAGTCTTGCTTCTGAAGGAGCGGACTGACGCCAAGCCAATGATTAGGATCGCTGCACATATTAAATCAGGATTAATGACCGATTGATCCTAATCTTCCAAATCATGTCAAGCAGATCTCCTTCTCATGGCTAAAACTTCATGGTCAGGGCTACTGGACGGTGTCAGATTATAGCCAAGGATTGGATTATCACTACTGATCCAATTATACATGTTGTTGCTGTAATCGGCTGTCAGACCGGTCTCATTCTAAGGATAACCCTGTGGAGAGAGAGAGTGGATCCAAATAGGCCTATTATAGCACAAATTGGGATGTTAAGCCACACAAATCCTATATGAAAGAATCCTGCAGGAGCGGTGTGAATAAAATAACTGAAAGCAATGATTTGACAGTTATAGGGGTTTCAGTAAAAAAAAAAAAACAGCTGGACTTGGGAAGGATTACGCTGACCTGGAGGACTGAGAGGCTTCACTGATCTGACAGCTAATACTAATGTGATTCAATGCTCACAAGCTGTGAAATGACCATCTAGTGGCAGAACTGTAAATGTGTAGCTGGTGACATCTGACATAGTGGCCGAGCAACGGGAAATAGAAAAAAAAAAAAAAGAGGCTCAACCGATGACGCCTTGACTCCACCTCATGATGCCATTTAGCAACAGATGAGCAGCGCTTCATGTTCGTTTCGGGCAGTCAGAGTCACGCATTGCCCCGAAGGAGCACTTTTAACTGCGTAATGTTTGTCGGGGTCGCGGTGCGTCCTGTCGTCTCTCCTGCACCGTAGCTTGCTAGCCCGTTAGCGGCTCCCTCGTGTTATCGCTGCCCGTGTGTGCCGGATCGCTATGGATGTGCTCTGGATGATACCGTTGCTGCTGGTCCCGCTCCTGATGTGGACCAGCAGCACGTTTGTTTTCTATTTCAAAAAGTGCTTTTACGTCGCCTGGATGATGTGCTTGGCCCTGGTCGCGATCCCCCTGTGCATACTGAAGAGCGGAGGCAGAGACGTTGAGAACATGAGGTGAGTTTGTTGTGCGTAATAAATGTGGCTTCGTCTGACAGCTAGCCGAGCGTTAGCTAGTTAGCGGCTAGCAGCAGCAGCCGCCGTTGTTGATATTAAACAGATTAGGCTCGCTAGCAACGCTGCCGGGTTTGTTTTTTTTTTACTGTGGCGGGGAGTTATGTAAAACACTACACCGCTGTGACACCAGGGAGCGTCTTAGCTACCACACTGTGTGCCATTTGAAAGAAAGAAAAAAACGAAAAAGAAGTGATGCATTTTTAATCATACATATGCTAATATTAGCTCCCCTGACACATTGGCAGGGGGACGTGTTAGCGGAAAGCCAAGATGCTAACATTACGCTCATGTTTAGCGCTTCAGCTTTTTCCCAACGTGGCTAAAACAACACTATCCTCACATGTTGGCAATTATTTTAACGATATATTCTGGAAAAATCTGTGCTGACTCCGTCCTGTCGGCTAAGTTACATGAGGTGAGCACATCGTTGACTGACTGGACGTCACAAAGGTGTCGTTGTTCTGCTGGTTCTGGAGCCAAAGCTGCTGTTCTTTGAGAAGAAATTGCATTAGTGAAATCAGTTTAGCAATTCTGGCAATGCAGCTGAGAAACTGTGGCTAACTTTATGTGTAATGAGTTGTCAGTGGGCCGGTTTAAAGTGCACATGAGCTCCATAAGTATGCAATCCAGCACCGTTAGGTTCAGTCAGGGTTTGGTTAAAGTGTGTGAATGAGTGGTTCAGTTGTTGATGTTACAGTCAGTGCTGAGGATTTAAACTTGTGTTCACATATCCTGTCCACTTCAGTTTACAAGTATGTTAAGTAAAAAATGCTGCAGACCTTAGTTACAGCCCTGAACAAGTAGCATACTGTGGGTGCAGCCTCTGTTAAGATGACCTCTTGACCTCACCTTTTGAGTATTTGTGTTATTTTACACCTGACCGACAGACTGACCAGGTCAACTGACACTTGTTAAGGCAGAAATGTAGTGCCGGTGTCCACTTTTTGTTGTTGTGGTTAAATCTGGCCACCGGAGGATGGATTGCTGCACACAGATGACTGCATTCCAGTAATTACCTTGAAGAGACGGATGCCAGATGGCAGGTTCTCCCTGATTAGAGTTGGGTTACTGAATAGTTATGAGGCCCATCCTCATGCAGCCTCACTCGGCCCGAACTGCTGACAGCAGCCCTGTCAGTTACAACAGCAGACCTTCCTGCCTCAGTGCTCTAGGAATAACAGTTTCACAGTCATGTTAGCTGTGGTGCTGGTGTCATGTTGCACCCGTGTACCGTTCTGTCAGCTCAAAGGTTATCTGGACCTGTTGACTGTGACAAAGTGACTGAATCGGGGTCAGACCTTGGACGGGAAGTGAATAGAGTTTTGGATGCATATTTTACACAGTGGCCGGCCTTGGCAGAAAGAATTCAGTGATTCATCAAGACAGAGGAGTCTGTCACAGACATTTGCTGTCGCACAAAGGCCTGAATTCTGGGGTTGACTACTTGCTTCACAGCTGACTTGGAAAACTTGGATGTAACAAGAGTGACGTGATGAGCCAGAACAGGCTTGTACCTGCTCAGACAAAAACTTCCACAGAACTCAAGTTGTTGCTACTGTTGTGCTCGCATTTCCTCAAACACTCTTCTTAGGTTTTAATTCATGGTTAGTGCTGGTGCGGACACACAGTCCTACCTGTCACATGTGTGAATGGCTACTTCTGGCTAGAGGTCCTGGCATTGATTATCAGGTAGGATCTCATGACAGCAGATAAAGGCCAGGGGTTTAGTTTTCTTACTCGCAATTGCTCGAGCTCAGGTTCCGTACGGTGTAACAGTCTCAAACATCAGTGGGAGACCACTGTTGCTGCCTGTTTGACTAATCAGTAATGTTGTCACTCAGACCACGGGATGACTGACCTTTACAGTGGACAAAGTTAAAACTACCCATATTCTTGATCCAGCCTTTCTGAATGAAGCAACCCTTTGCTGTAACACTCGAGGCCTGTGATCATGTCCCTGCCCTGTACAACACTGTGACCTTTAGCTTGCGATTAAGCTGAATAAGCTTGGCGCTGGCATCTTTGTCGGTTCAATATTTTTTTTGGTATAACAGGTCAGGCACACCTTTTATCTGTGACGAGCCTGATTGTATGGGATTATGCTCTTCCCTATATGCTGATTATGCATTGCAGAATCAAAAGAACCTATTTAGAGACTGATAATGAAATGTAGCATAGCTAAAGCTTAGTGGAATGGTTATAAAAAGAATTCAACCAGGGTCATGTCTTTCCCCTTGAACAATCTTGGAGTTGCTGCAACACTGACTGAGTCATTGCATAACCAGTGGCTTTTGCAGGAGACTGTGTGTTATCACTGTGCTGTGTTGAAAGATAAGCAAAAACTGTATTCCAGTGTAAAGGTTAAAGTAATTACTCTATAGTTTAGCAGGAGTACATATGTGCAAACTTAGATTCAAGGCAGTGTAGAGTGGTTCCTTTAGAAATGGAGTCACATGCCAATGAACACAAGCGATGAGTTAAGAACTTTCACATGTCTCATTTTGAAACAATAATGTGCTTTGATTTGATCATCAGCAAAGGCAGCATTTCACATCTCTATACGAGCTCATTATGAACTGTCATATCTGGCAGTAGTGCAAGAACGAAAATTGGGCAAGACTTAAGTAACCATTGAATATTAATTTAAATGTAACACATGTTTGTATCATAACAGGCAAAGTGCTTTACATTTTTTTGGCATGTAGACTCTCAGCATGTGGCCTGGAGGACAGAGATCGAGCCTCCAAACCTGCAATTAGTAAACCAGCTGTTGTGTTACCTGAGGCACAGCCACATGTCTGTGTTTTATGACAGTGAAAAGAGGTGATTGTTTTTGTTTCTTTTACCAACTTGGGACAACACTTTCCATGGTTTGTGTGGTACTCATATAAATGAATACCTCTTTGTACCTACCAGCTTAATTCCTAAAGTATAGACTCTAGTTACCGCAGTGTTGCAATGGACAGCACTGAAAATCACAAACACAAGTAGTCTGACCAGTCGTAGGAAGAATTATTTTTATAATTATACCATCTACACCACCTGTTTGAAGGGAGAAGGAAGGGAATTTTTTTTAATCCAAGGTTTTTCTTGTAAACATCTGTTTAAATAAACCCACTTCCTGTTCAACTTTTGCCAGCTTTACCAGCTGTATTATAATGGGCAGTTCTGGTGCTTAAACATTACCTGGTACTCGTAGGAGAGCTTTGACAAGTTATTAAAAGATGAGGGATGTCACAAAACCCAGAGTTTGGTAGTCGTTACCAAAACCACTCAAGTTTTTAAGGATTGCTCATACCAATTTTAATGTCAAACAAATCAATTAATCAAATGAATGAATTTTAGATTAATACTCGTGTTATATTTTTAAACTGAATGATGGTAGCCACTAATATAATAGGAATAGGAATATAATGGGAATATTTTCGTATATACATTTTGGCAAAATTTTAATGTAAATTTAATAACTGAAAGTCGCTCATCTTGAACTCTGCATACAGATTCAGGTCCTAAAGGTGTTTTCTTCTTTCATTTGAAATGCTTTGTGACACATTCTTCATACCATCTTCAGGTTGCCTATAGCTGCCCCGATCATAAAACTCCACCACCAGATATGCCTATACTCTATTGGGTGGGTTTTTTCCTACCACAAGTCACAGCAGACCTGAGGACTGTACTACGAAGCATGTTTGACATATCCAGACTTTCTTTGTGTAAGCCAGCTCAACAAAAACTAAAGCTCCAGCCAGAGATCAGAGGTATCACAAAGGTGGTTCAACTTTCTTTGTCAACTCAGACTTTCTGCTTCAGACTCTGTTCACATAAAAGGAGGCGTTTAATGCATCACGTGACTCTTCTTCTGCACTGAATGAAACGATGTGCAGCTGCTTCAGTCAGCAGGTTGTTACAATGGAGAACAATGAGGAATATAAACATTTATGATGGTAAAAAGCGCCGCTACTGTAAATGGTGCAGGACAGAAATGCTGGTAGAAAACTGTTAATATGTAATATTTTACCGATGCAGCCGCTTATTTCCAGCAGACAGCTGCATGTTAAAGTTAAACTTTAAACTTAGTATGTTTAAACATGAGCTTGTACTGAGGTGCATTTAGGTCTGACACTGTCCCATTATGCAGGACATCACTTTAATTTTTAGCCAAATCAAAGCAAAATTAATGTTATTGATTGAATATTCTCTGTAATAAATCCCAGTAGAATAATCCATGTTCTAATCTGTTCTATCAGCTGCGGTACCAACAGTTTAAATGAACTTGACAGCAAATCAGTGCCAAACATAAAAAAATGTTTATGTGATTTCTGCATCACCAACTGAATACATGTCTGGTTCCCATGGCAACGCGATACATACAGTGTGTGATACTGTAGCTACATGACTTCATTCAGTGATATTAGTAACGCACAACTCAGCATGTTTGCAGATAAAACACATTCCCGCAACTGAAAATCTGTATCGCTCATAAATAATAGTCAAGGAATGATTTGGTTAAAGGGAGACGCTCTTTCAGCCGGTATAAATCTGAAACTCTGAACATAACTAGCTAGCTAACTAGCTCCACAGCATCAGTTACCATGGAGATCTAGCAGGTAAAAAAGAGCCACCTTCGTAACACTGAAAACTCTGACTTTAGGCTCAACATACCTGCTAACCCACTAATCTGGCTTCGTAGTCCAGCCCTCTGTTGCTGTACTTGCTGTACTTGCACTTCCTGCTGCCGGTCCAGGTGTTGTTGGTATTGTCCTATATGTACTGTACCTACAGCTTGTTGTCATAGAAGAGCCTGTAAAGTCAGAGTTTCCCAATTTTGACATCGACCAATCCGTTCTCATGACATCCATATCAAAGATATTTTAAAAGCTCGCCGATTTTCCATAATACCATTCTTGTGTGCTTATTGAGTCAGAGGTCAATCTGGGCATTCTTAAATCCCCAAAGCTGCTCTTTCATAGGGCATTATTTTGGCAACCTCAAAACAAGTCTTAAAATATCAAAGTCAGTAAAATCCATGAGGGATTTGTTCATTTGTGACTGAATCTGACTGGTGAGGAAAACAGTGAAAGTCAGATAACTACAGACCTCTGCTCCTAGCTAACAAAAGTCCAGATGACCTTCCCAAAGAGTTTTTATATCTAATAAAGACGCTCTTTTGTCATTTTAACCTTTATGAGAGGATGAAAAGATAATCAGCTCTGGCATCTGGGTGAAATAAAGGCTATTAACAATGTACTAAGTGGCTTTCCTGTTTTCAGACCAATGATTATTGCGAGCATAACCACCAAGTATTACCACAGCCAGAGCCTTCATTATTGAATTTTCTTTCTTGAGGAACAGGATATTGGAGATGATGGCTGGAAATGTTTGATTTTCGTGTAAATTTACAGTCAAACAGCATTGTGTTTGGTGGTGTAGTAGCATGTACTCTGTGTTTCATGCTGAAAATGTTCACTTTTTTCTTTTCATTTTCATTTGAAAGACTTTACTTCTCAACAACAAGTATTACAGCAAGGTCTGAAACATCCCTAATGAAGGAACGGGAGACAAAAAACTGCCGTAAATTACAAGGAGCCTGGAAGACATTTTTAAATCAAGGGCAAATAAGGACAACAAAAAGAGGAAGAAGTTGCAGAGGGCTGATTTAGTGGTGAGCGAGGCACATTGGGTATTGAAGTGATGATTCTCTGGCTGAGACGGAGGACGGGGAGTGCCTCTGCTGTTTTCCCTGACAGCGAAGGTCATTCAAGTTAGTGGTGTGTAACAGAAGCCAATTTTAGTGTGTTGCGCAGGAAAAACAGCTCGTTTGTTTTCCAAATTTGTGGTCTGGTTTTGCATGGAATATTTTGTCATGCTTTACAGCTGTATGGCAACTGAGCTGCTTATGTGCTATGGCTCTCTTCATAAGACATTTCAACCTGAGCGGATGTTTTATTTACTATGAGAGGTCTTGTTTTAGGTATTCATTTGATTACTCATAGACTTACTCAGCACTAATATGCATCCTTAGTAAACATTTATTTCTGAATCCCTATTTGATTTAATTAAGTCGAGCTTCCTCATCTTAGACAAATCCCCCATTTGATCATCCCGACTCTCTGCACCTTTGAGGAAGTCACATTTGTGAAATCTATATTTAGCTGGGTTCAGATCTGATGACACAGCCGACACGGACAAAGCTGAGTGCACTATTTGCTACAAGAAAGTTTTGGTGAAGGTAACACATCGAACCATTATTGTTCAAGGTGGCCCAGAAGTCCTTGTGTGTGTGTGCTGGAAGTGCACACCTACACTTCTGAGCAAATTTTCAATACAATTTGGAACACAATCACTCTACAGCTCTCCCAACTAAAGCGGGACGGAATAAATATGCTTGTCTTCTTGGCAAAAAAAAAAACAAAAAACTGCTGGCCCTGTGTGCACTTTGGATGCTTGTAGCTTTAGGATTTAAGTACAAATTATTTTTCTTAAATTATTCAGACAAAACTCCCACATAAAGATAACGTATTCGTGCCCATAATAGCGTTAGCTGTTCTTGCATTTGCATTCTGCAGCCTCTTGGTGAATGGCAATAAATTGTGCTTTCATTGATGTAAATGGAAAACTAAAGATAAAATATATTTATCACAAAAGGGAACTTGGCCAACAAAATAATTGTTTGGAGGTAGATTGAGTCATGTTCAAAATGTGTTGATTTTTTGTGCTATTTTTAGACCTATACTCAATAATAAGTTGAAAGCATTGCGTCTTGGGAAACACCTATCAGAGTAATCTGATGTTAGGCAGGGCTACTACACTGTGATACATGTACAACAGGAACTTAACCAGTATCTTTTGTTTGTTTGTTTACAAGTACTGCCATATGCTTTACACCGTCATAAAATGGAAGAGTTATTAAGGTATGATAGTATACACACTCCCCAAGCCTTTTCTCAGCAAGTGTTTTAGGGACCAAAGACAAGATAGCGAGGAAATGGGTTGTGACGTGTTAACAGGTGAAAACATTTGATCTTGAACCTTGATTACACCGACTGAGAGAATGTGCATCATGGTGCTGTGACATGGGTCATACCTTGGAACTGGTTGTTTGGAATCCCACTGAAGTTTTCCAAGTCATAGGTCAACTCAGATATGAACAGAGCTCACAGCTGTTATCTGCTTTGTCTCTACGAGGGCTGAACTTTACAAGTCCCAGAAGATAAACTCTGATCTGACAGAGTGTAAAGGAGAAACATCTGTGTGCGGGGGAAAAAAATGTGTTTTGATGTTTATCAGATTGAGGAGTTTTTAACTCGAATGCAAAAAAGGGCACTCACAGAGAACTGGCGTGCAAGTGTGCAGCTCTAGAACGCACATTTACTGCTCGGTCAGAAGACAGCTGTTTTTGTCATCTTTTTATCCTCAAGCAGTAAGCAGCTGTTGTCAGCAAACAAGCTCTGATGAATACACTGTACGCTCCCGCCTAGCTCTAGACACAGGCCTAGTGACTAATTGGTAAAGAGTTTAACATCTGCTAGTTAAAGGCCCAGATATTCTTTCTGAGAGCAAATCAGAGCTACAAAGGAGAGCAAATATTGAACTTGCATTTTTCCAGCTGGCGTGAAATACGGCACTTAATGTCTAATGTCAAGTTTGTGGGTTTTAAAAATAGACTGCTGTTTGTCCTGACAACATTGAGGTGGTGATACGGTAGTAGCTGTAAATTTGTCAGCTTGTTTTCAAAGTTTTATTGACCCATAGGGGCCAAAAATCTGTCAAAGCAGCTGAGGTGTGTCCAGGAGATTGATGTGGTCGTTACTTAGCAAGTGAAATGGTTAAAAAGGGGATAGTGAAGCTAAATATCAAAAACAAGGAACAAAATCATGAGTTTACATTTCGCTGATACTGCCTGTCCTCCTTAAGGGCTACATTATCAAACATAATAATATAAGTTTTATTTTACGAGTAATTAACTGTATGAATTAGCAGTGCTATAAAATATGTGTGATAACTTAAGTGTCAGATGCAGAGAGGCAGATGGTAGGACATTGCTTCTCAAAGCTTATTGGAGCGTAATGTTTACTACAGGCAATTATTTAACCATGCAGGAAACAACCGAAGCTAATAGGGAGGCTGAACATGATTAATCTACCAGATTATATTGTCTCATTAAGGTTGAATTAGAAATATCTCAGCTGGCAAGCTTGCACTGTCCTGTGACACCTTAGCGCTGAACAGGCCTTGTGCGTTCCACTATTAACACCAACCTGTCCGAAGTAGAGTTCTGGTTAATCATACTTAGCCTGCTGCCTTCACATGTGAACAGTAACCTAAACTTACTCAGCTCTGTCCTATCCCCTCAGGATCATCCGTTCCCTGGTTCGTCATGTCAAGTACTTCCTGGGTCTTCGGTTTGAAGTGACCGGTTGGGAGCATCTGCAGACACAGGGTCCCTACGTCATCATCTCCAACCACCAGAGCTCTCTGGATGTTTTGGGTGGGTATTGCAGTGCTTTTGTTACAAGGAAAAACTGTAACATTGATAACACTATTTCACTGGATGCACTCCTCGGGGCATACGAGGTGTGTCAGAAAAGTTCCAGGACTGGTGTCACAAAAGACATATTTTAAATCCAAACTACAAACTAGAAATTTTCCCCTTTGACGTAATCCCCCTGGAGTCCAACACACTTTCCCAGCCTTCTGTGCCACGCCGCCATGCACTCCTGGAAGGATTCTTCTGGGATCCTCTGCAGCTCCATCATCATAGCCATCTTGATGTTGTCCACGTCTTCAAAACGGGTCCCCTTGATGACCCCCTTGAGCTTGGGGAAGAGGAAACAATCCCACAGAGCCAGGTGGGGTGAGTAGGGAGGTTGCTCCAGCACGGCGAAGTTCTTCTCAGCCAGGAACTGTGGGATGCTCAGGACATTGTGAGGAGGCGGGTTGTCATGGTGAAGCAGCCACGACTTGTCCTGCCACAACTCTCGCCTCTTCTGGAGCACTGAACGAAGCAAACCCCGCAGGATCTCTTTGTAGACGTGCTGGTTGATGGTCTGAAGGGGAAAACTCCTAGTTTGTCGTTTGGGTTTGAAATTTATCTTTAGTGACACCAGTCCTGGAACTTTTCTGACACACCTGGTAAACACCCTAACTTTTGCCCTTTTGATTACACTTACAAAAGAACAGATTTGGGACACAACTCCCCCTTTTCTCTTCCCCCCCTCTCATTTTGCTGAAATCTTTCTTTATGCTTCCACACAATTAGATTTTCAGGTTGTCTGTACGTATGTCCACCTGTCTCTGCTCCAACACCAGGAGGAAACATCACCAAAATTTGCTCAAACGTTGGACTTCAGAATAAACTGATTGGAATTGGTCTAAGGATGATCACTGTGTCATCACAAAAACACATTTTTTGCCAGAAGTCAAGACTTCACAAGCTACATTTTCTCAAAATGTCATCTCAAATATCTGACGAAGTTATGACATTTTTGCTTTGTGATCAGATCAGTGGGATCAGGACTCTTGATTTGTCCTCGGATCGAAACAGCACCTTTTTATTCAAACCTGCAGCATTTAACTTAATGGCATGTGCTTTGTCTATATGAGGACATTTTTATCCCCAGAAGGTCAAAAGTCAAGTCTGGACAGATGTGATACCAACATGACAGGTTGGCAGAGGCAGACATTTGCACCTGTGTAGAGAGAAAAAGTGTGTTTTTCATACAGTGGTAAACTTGTGTGTGTGTGAACACCTGAAATGACCTCTGAAGTTGGAGGAAAAAAAATCACATATAAATGACTGTTATCACTAAAACTTATGTTAGATATTTTCCAGTATTCATAGTTAAATGTCAGTGTCATTTCAGATTACATGTGAGCCTGAAACAATGTAGAGAGGTTGGGAAAGGCCTCTTGTAGTGCCTCATCTATTTTTCAGAACAGACTGAAAGATTCTGTCTATGATGAAGAATAATGCAGGATGGTTCTGGCAGCTTTGCCTCAGCGCTAGTTTTTGCTTCAGTGTTCTTTTGTTTTGTTTTGTTTTTTTTTTTTATCTTCAAATACGATCGGATTTAGCAGGGAAGAATTGTTGCACATTCTGTTCACTTCACCCTGAGGATATGGCACATTCACTTCTGGACGTTTTTGTTGGAGCAGCAGCAGTCGATGCAGGAGTCACAGATGGAAGAATTGTACCGTTAAGCTCCCACAGTGGGGATTTCTGAATCTGCACCCGAGTATATCTGTGGTGAATCTTGTCTCCCTGGCCAATAAAATGGAAAAGCTGCGACTGCTCCATGGGACTAACAAGGATTATTCACTCTCTGCTGCTTTGTGCTTCATGTAAACCTTGCTAGGTAAAAATGTTCCAGGACAGTATGCATATTAGAGTTACTAGGCAAAACAAGGACAGGCAAATTTGGCTTTTAGATGAATGGAGTTCAGATGTCAGCTGATTTTTATTCTGCTCAAACTATCTCAAGCCTGTCTGTGCCAGGTACAGCAACACATGAGTGACCTGGCAGTCGACACGGAGCACTCTGCACTCACTTGTCATGATCCTGGAGGATTTAATGGAAAGAGCTTCCGGCATGATTTAAATAAGGAGTGCTGGACCAGAAGAGGGAGTGCGCTGGACCACTGCTGGACAAATAGCCGTGGTCAGAAATGAGCCACGAGGCAAAGCTATAACTGCTGGCCTGCTGTGCATGCAGTGACTGCTGACCTGGATGAGCTCACTGACACAGTGACATGAGAAACCATCCCCTCACATTATCAACTACAAACAACTGGCTGTTGACCTGAGTGTGTTTTACTGGGAGGTTGATGAGGCATGTACGCCGCTCTGACTTAGACTACGTTCTCACGGAGTCAGCTAATTAGGAAAAACCCCCTTACACGTGATGCTGATTTGTCTTGACACTGGGTGAGGCAAAGCTCCTAAACTAAACTTCAGGTTTAACGTCTGTTACACTAAATGTGCACAGCACTCGGCTGTACTGCATCCCAGCTGCAAACCAGCTCTTTTCTCAGCTCTGTTTCAGTTTCAGAAGTAGAATCTGTTCTTCAGCAGCCTCTTTATAATATTGTTTAGTCCTGTTTCTGTGATATGTTCAGTCTTCTACAAGCATGAATGTGTGTTTAAAGACAGCTATAGTAGGAGATGCAACTTTCTGCTGATTTATTCTCCGTCATCACTCATGTTAATTGTTAATCTAGTTGATCTCACGTTCCAGCTTTTGTCTTTGACCTTTGTTTTGTCTAACAACATCCTGATCATAACCTAAGGATTTAATCCATCTTGTAGGTTTGTCAACATGGTGCATATTTGCCGTGATCAAATGTCATGCCTCCTTCTTTGCCTGACGGCAAAAAAATATGTAAATGACAACTATACTGTGGATTTCCTGGTATGCAAACACAGTATTTGTGTGCAAGATTGTCTGCGGCAGCCATGACGGAGCCAGACTACGATGTGGCCAGATCCTGTGTACGCTGGTCATCAGTCACAGTCTGGTTTGAATCAGCCACTAAACAATACAAAGGCAAACTCAAACGGACAGTCAGGACTGCTGAGGGCAGAACTGGCACCACCATCAAGAACTTAAAGACCCCATATTGTGCCCCTTTTCAGCAAAAGAAAGACATTCTCCCAGATGATTATTATTTTATTTATTTATTTTTATTTTTATTTTTTAAGCTTAAAAGAATACAAAGACGGTTATGGACTCTATAACCACTGGTTTTAAGCACTGCTCTAAACCAGGGGCCTCATTTATCATCAGTGCGTAGAAAAGGTTCTAAATTCTGTCGCACGAATAAAATTTAGAGTGTAAGTACGAAAAAATCCATATTTGTTAAACATGCGTATGTGGGTCATACGTACATCAGAAGTCATCAGTGTTGGTAAATCCCACTCGTTCTTAACCACCATGCTTGTGCACTTTCGAGACGCCTCCAATTAACTATATATGGTAACAACACACCTCTTTATGAAACATGTGAAGATTTTCCCCCTCACCGTTCATCATCAGGGCAAAGAGAGCGACAAAGAGGAACTTTTCGAAAACCAAAATTGAGGTACTTGTCAGCGAGGTTGAAGCTACCCAGAAGCTATTGTTTGGTGCGTGAAATGTTGGGATAAGCAGCAAAAGAAAAAGAAAACATTGCATGGGACAAGATAACCATCACAGTTATTCCTGTTGGGTCAGAGGAGAGAGCGCTGTGTTCTCTAGGAATGTTCGTATCCACTGATGATAAATGACGCCCCTGGACTTTATGTTGCTTCTAACTTTTTCCTCTTTAACAAACACTGGATTCACAGCCTCCTCAGTCCTTATTTATTGGTTTTAGATCTGTCTTAAAGTTTCCACTAGTCCTCCTTGTTCCTTTGCTTTACAATTTTAACAACATTAACTGGTGTGTGTGCAATCATAGTAATGGTAATGTTAGCCGCACAATAGACCAACACTAAACACCTTCCTTTTCATATGGCAACATTTCCATCAATGACAAAGAAATCCACTGGATTTTTAGCTCCTCAGATGCTGGTAGTGCATTTCACTTCACACTTGCAGCCAGCAGCAGTACATTTAGTGTGCTTTTGCTTGTGACTGAGACATTTTAGAGTTTGCAGAAGCCACTCCAGAAAGTAAATAAACCTGACGGACTGCGAGGCACTTCTGAATAGCGTACCTGTTTAAAAAGCTGGAGGTGTGTTTAGTTCTGTGGGGCTTCAGGAGTGGCAGTAGTAGGCGTCTGATGATTGTCACAGCTTTCATTTTACACCTTCAAGTTTGTTAGACACACACAACGCAATAGAAATAGATTTTCACTTTAGCACAAGGTGTGTCACATCCAAACTTTAAACTCCTGCTTTTTCTTACAACAAACCCTCCTGTTTTTTGGTTGTTAAGATGGATTCCAGTGCCAGTTAGGCAACAGTCTTACTAGAAGTGGGCCAAATGTAAGATTACTGCATTCCTGCTTTGTGCTGACACGCAGATTGCTGGACAGACTGCACAATAATTTGCAACCACAGAAATGACTTCGATATTATATTTAGCAGTCTTGATTTGGCACCGAAGATCATCGAACACATTGATTACTAATTATACCAGTAAAATGTTCGCACAGGACCCAGTCTGAGATTTTAAAAAAAGCTGTTGTAGAAAGGCTTTGATTCTTCTGTTTGTGCTGTCATTTCGAACCCTTGTTAACATTCCCTCATTCCTCAATTCAGTCTTCAGGACACTAAATTAGCAGGACTATGTTTTCTCTCCATCAGTACCTGGATGGAGTGTTTTTTTAGTGCTGCTGAGTGATGAGGGCCGGCTCGAGGCCAGGATACTGACAGCAGGGAGAGAGATAGGCATCTAATTAGCATTGAGAAAACTCAGCATGAGGCTTATTTGGCGTCCAAGTTGCCATGCCAACTGCTACACCCTGTCATTAATAGCTGCACTTCTAGAGCTGATGTAATAGGAACTACAGTCCTCACCTCACCTCCACAGATAGGGCAGCAATTCAATCACTCTTTCTGATGTCGTTTTGGTTGTCTGCTCTGTTTTTTCTCAACCTGGTACAGACACATCGACTTGCTCTGCTGTTTCCCATCATTTATTTAACTGACTTTGCACCAGGAACCTGCGCGAAGGTTAATAAAACATGTCGGATTTCATAACGTTCACGTAGATAACTCCCATCAATAAAGTAACGTTTCTGTTCAAGCATTGCATCTATTACATCAGCAGACTTAATACATGATGAAATCCAGGCTTTCAGACAGCCAGACAGAGATAAGATGGCAAGGCCAAAGCTCGTCCCAGACTGTTATCCTTAAACGCCCCACGTAGTTGCCGGTGTTGTACATATTAAAGACCTCTTTAAAGGTCCCATGTGAATATGATACATTTTTATTGTATTTTGTGGTTGTTATAAAGTTGAAGTTGTAAAGTACCAGCTGTTAAAATATGAAGATGTTTACCTTTGCTAATCCTCAAGTTCCCCAACAACGAGGAAGCCTCCCAGCGTTACAAGCCAGTAAGAACTTCACCCATGTGCTACCTGACACCCAACTAACCAGAGAGGTCAAGTACAAAGCAAGTTTGACGTAGCCGGGCTTCTTTGTGTAAGTCAGCTAGACAAACACTGAAGCTCCAGTCAGAGATTACAGTTATCGCGAAGGTGGTTCAACCTTCTTTGTCAACTCAGACGTTCTGCTTCGGACTCTGTTCACATAAAAGGAGGCGTTTAATGTGTCACGTGACTCTTCTTCTGCACTGAATGAAACGATGTGCAGCTGCTTCAGTCAACATGTTGCTATAATGGAGAACAATGAGGAATATAAACATTTATGACAGTAAAAAGCGCTGCTACTGTAAATGGTGCAGGACAGACATGCTGGTAGAAAACTGTTAACATGTAAATATATAATATTTTACTGGTATAGCCGCTTATTTCCAACTAACAGCTGCACGTTAAAGTTAAACTTAGTATGTTTAAACATGATCTTGTATTGAAGAGCGTTTAGGTCTGACACTGTCTCATAATGCAGGACATAACTTTAAGTTTTGGCCAAATCAAAGTGAAATTAATGTTATTGATTGAATATTCTCTGTAATGAATCCCAGTAGAATAATCCATGTTCCAATCTGTGTTTTATCAGCGGCAGTATCAGCAGAGTAAACGGACTTGACAGCAAATCAGAGCCAAACATTAAAAAAAAACATATTTATGTGACTTCTGCATCGCCAACTAAATACATGTCTGGTTCCCATGGCAACTTGATGCATACAGTGTGCGATACTGTAGCTACACAGCTTCATTCAGTGATATTAGTAACGCACAACTCAGGAAACGGTCTGGTTAAAGGGAGACGTTCTTTCCAGACGATTTAAATCTGAAACTCTGAACATAACCTGCTCCGGACCAGGTTAGCTTCACAATGTCAGTTACCATGGAGATCTAGCTCCACAGCATCAGTTACCATGGAGATCTAGTAGGTAAAAAGTGACACTGAAAACTCTGGCTTTAAGCTCAACATACCTCGTTAACCCACTCATCTTGTTTCGTAGTTCAGCCCTCTGTAGTCATAACTGCAACGTTATCTGACAAACTCACAAAACACATGAGTTTAAAAGCAAGGTGTGCTGTGAATTTGCCAATACTTCCATGCCAGATGATCACACTAGGAGAAAGTTAGAAGTGTCTCCCAGTGTCAGCAGCTATGGGGTCCGCTGGTTTTCTCTGTGTTGTCAATCACAGTCTCAGAGAGAGTTTCCTTCCTGAAGGGGGCAGGGCCAGCAGCAGCTCATTGGTGTTCTGAACAAAACAGAACATTTAGACAGAAGCTTAAACCAGGTCTCATACCGTCAAGGTTAAATGAACTATCTTTCGTCCTTTAAAGATAATTTACTTGGTGTTTTCACCTTTTATTGGATAGTCAGAGAAAATGAGGTCAAGGTAGCAGGGGCAGAACGTCCAGTCAGGGTCCAGGTGGTATTCACCCTAACGGCTGCTAAACCACTTCTTATTCATCTTTTTGTCTCTGTCTGTCTCTCTGTCTGTCTGTCTGTCTGTAACAAATAATGATAATTCATTAATCTGACTAATGATCACAACAGTTAAAAAGACAAACGATGAAAACAAAACAATTGTTGTGCAATCAGTGACTGATAGTGTCACACTCAGCTAATCATTGATCCTTTAATTTTTGTAATGTTTTTTTTTTCCATTAGCAATGACATCAAAAGGTATAATTAAGTTTTAAATTAAATCTAATTAAATTTATCTAAGACTTTCTATAATTCCTTCTCTACCTGGATAGAAGGAGTACCTACCTTTGAGTTGATGCAGCCTCCAATAAATCCTTTTTGCTGTTTGGCTTTTTTTAGTTAATAATAAAGTTGGAATGTTTCTCAATATCTAAAGTCTTTTTTTATTAGTACCGAGAAAATTTTTGCTTGCTATTTGTTTTCATTCAAGACATTTTTAATTATCTGTGTGTACAGTGAGACATTTGTTTAAAATCATCTGTATTTTGTAAGGTTTTGTTTGGTTAGAAACATATGCTGTATGTATGCAGTTGTTCTGACTGTTTTACATGCTTTGAAATTGTGTTTCTCAGGTATGATGGAGATCTTACCAGACCGTTGCACTATGATTGCCAAGAAGGAGTTGGTCTACGCTGGCACAGTGGGCCTCATCTGCTGGCTGGGGGGCATCGTCTTCATCAACCGCAAGAAGACGAGCGATGCAAAGAGTGTCATGGCTGACGCTGCCCAAACCATGTTGGATGAGCAGGTAATCTGTTTCTTTGTCAACACTCGACATACCTCCATCCATGGTGACGGAAGAAGCTCAGTTCAATTTACTATGCTGCACTTTTTTTTCCTTTTTTTGTTCCTGCATATGTTTATCTCAAGGTTCTGTGTTCGACTTTATGGGTTTTTGTGGGATGATTTACTTTCCTCCTCTGACCTGATGTCCTTTGACCTTCACAGATTCGTCTGTGGGTGTTTCCAGAGGGAACGCGTAACCAGAGAGGCGACCTGCTGCCTTTCAAAAAAGGTGCTTTCCACCTGGCAGTGCAGGCACAAGTGAGTATTTTTTCTTTAATGTCCTTAAATTTCACCTTCTTTTTTCCTGTTCTGTATGCTCAGTAGGATAGAGGGTAAGCTGTCCTACGCTGTATCCCATCCATACATTAGAATTAAATCAGCATTAGTGAAATGCACACATTCATCCTGTTCATTCATTTGACCCTGACAGCGAGGGGCTGTGATAATACTGGCTCTATGCCAGGAAACTTCTGCCAACTTTATCTCCAAAAAGAGTGAGGGGCTTCGTATTGTGCTGCTTCTAGACACATGGGGGAGCTAGCAGCCTTATGTGGACGCAAGGCTAAATCATGATTTAACTATGTTGGCTATGTTGACGTTCATAATGACCACTATCTAAATAAATGCTTTCGAATCAGCAGACTAGTTTGCACGTTTCATACTTATTTTAAGCTTCTCTGACTTTGGTATCTATTCTATTTATCACAGCAAGTTACGAGAGGGAGGGTAGATGCAGCTCCCGATGCAAAGTGACTGCACAGTAACTCGGAGCTCAGCTTTGTGCACTTATGAGCTTTATCTCTGCATGCATGCAGGTGGGAGGTCTCTCTCCTGGAGTTGATGTTTCATAGCACACACTCAGGGTCAGACAGGTGGAATGAATTAAAAAAACATTGTCGAATGGAATCTGGCCAAAAACCGCAGCTTAGTTCACCCCAGGCAACACTGTTTTGTGTGTTTGTGTGCGTGTGTGTAGGGGTGTGTGTGTGTGTGTGTGTGCGCGTCCCTATTTTGTAACTTGCAGCAAAAGATTAATATCAGTTTTGTTCAGATATGCAGCAAGGCCAAGAGGCTACAAAAATAAAACCCTGCTGCTCCTCATCAGCAAACACATTAACATTTTCTATAGGGGCTCTACAGTTCAGAGCTTGCTAATAAGTTCCACAAATAATGTTTGGATGCTAGCAAAGGTACTCAGTTTGGTATTTTTGTGTCTGCCTGAGGTGGCAGAATAACTTCATTTGAAGTCTGGTGATCACAATCTGTGTTTGAGTTTTCCCCTTTTGGCTTTTCTTTACACTTGAGACTATTTCTGTGTGAACAGAGACTATTTCTATCTCTCTGTGGTTGCTTCTGCTGAGTTGTAGTGCAGCCTTTCCATTTGTACCCAGCCAGCCAGATTGAGTAGAAGCAGGACAGCCCCCAGGGGGAGACACGTTTGGCTCAGCCAGTCCTGCTGAAGGGCCACTCGGGGCCTCGAGAGAGCAGCTCGGCCTCTATTAGCAGTGGTGGAGGAGATGGAGATTGCTCGTGTCATGCTGGGTTCGTGTGTATGTGACAGAATGTGAGGTTGGTTTAGTCAAGCATGTTTGTCCGTGTTTCTCATCTTTTGCCTTGTTAAGAAAATGGTCAAAAGTCAAGTTTAAATGTCAGATTCCTTTGTGATAGAATGAACAAAAATATCAATGCAGCATGCAAATGGTCTGCTGTTTGACTTAGAGAAAAAGTTAAACATGTGATTTCCTTTGCTGCGGTTTAAAAGGGTCAGCTTTAGCCAATTGTGCACAAAAAGAGCAGATGACCTTTGACTTCATCCACAGCCTAGTCAGCAGTGGCTTTAAGGGACCATGATCAGAGAGTGGGACCAGCACACAGACATCCCTTTGAGCAGTGAATACAAACATCCACCTTAAAATGCAGTTTTATTCAAATGACACAATGCCACAGATGACAAGAGACGGACCAGAGCAGGCTGTTGGCAGGCTGGATGCTGCATGTCAGTTAGGGTTGTGGCCAGTGACTGAATGTCCACAACTCTTCCATTTGTTGTCTACGAAATAGTTTCAGACAGCATGGTAGACAGACAATCTGCCACATGACCAGACCACGTGTCACAAGCCGAGCCCAAGACTGTCACGTCCAACTCGTCCATCAGTGAAATTCCTTGTGATCAGCTGCAGAGACTGCCGAAGAAATTGTTGGTGCGCACGGCCAGAGAATATCTGTTCAACCTGTTAGGAATCACCTGAGGGAAGCTGGTTTGGCAGAATGACATCATAATAATCAGCTGCAGTGGGCAACCACTGTCATTGGTTGGACACTAGCGAGATGGAGGATGGTGCTTTTCACCGATGGATCTCATTTCCAACTATGCAGAAGTTGTATTTGGCATCGTACAGGGGGAAGCTGTCCAGATGTCAACATGGTACAGAGAACGACCCGTTGGACAAAGAATACATCTGCACCTCAATGCCCAGCAACATCAAGATGAAACCTGTTTATTCGCCTCCGTCACTTGACAATTTAACAAGACAATGTGTGTGCGTCCTGGTCTCACCAGAATATGCAATGTCCTTCAGCAGTAGCTGCTGACAAAGTTTCCGTCCAACTATGGCTTGCATACTCTGTAGACATGTTACCCAACAAACATCCATGGGTTGCTCTGGACGGACATCCAAACAGGCATGGGGATGGTCATTTCCAACATAGCCTGTACTGGGTTGTTCCATAACGTCCATTCTGATGTAGAGATGCTGAGTGTTGGAACAACAAATACTTGTTCATCTATGTCAAAAGAATGAATAGAAGTTATTAAAAATGACATGCTGCGTTCGTATTTTTGCTCGTCATTGCTTCCCTTCTTATGTTTCAGGTACCCATCATACCCATCGTTTTCTCCTCCTACAGCAACTTCTACCTACGGAAAGAAAAGCAGTTCAAATCGGGTAACTCAACCCTTGACTTCACATATTTCCGTACCAAGTTGTGTGCTTTTTCTTTGTGTAGGACTAATTGACATCTGTATGCTGAGACTGACGTGATGTTCAATGAGACTTCTAACAGTAAAGTTTTGTGCCTCTGCAGGGACCATCAGATTGAAGATCCTTCCAAAGATCGAGACAAAGGGAATGACGTCAGACGACGTTTCATCCCTGTCCGACAAATCCTTCAACGTGATGCGCTCTGCCTTCATGGAAATCTCTGGTTCCGTAACCCAGAGTAACGGGCCCTTAAGGCACTGAACATTTACCATACTCCCACCTCTTTTTCTGCCCCCGTCTGAGACCCATTCCTCCCCCAAGACCTCCCCGCTCTCCCCAGGTTGTCCCATTACCTGGCCAGGAAACAACATGACACAGGTTTCTTGTCATGAAATCTCTTCTTGTCTAGTTCGCCTGGTCCAGTGCGCCGCTGGCCTGGCCTGACCATACAGCACAGTCAGTCCCGACCCTCACTGTGTCTGCAGCAGCAGCACCAGCAGCAGCGCTGCTCTGCACGCCGTGAGTGGAGTGACGGACGGCAAGCCGAACAGTATGGATGTGTGTTGTTCATGCATGCCTTTTGGATGGCTCTGTCCACCTTCATCCTTGCTTTGTACTCTGGCTACGGAAAGCCTGGCTTTGTTATTGTCTTACTTTATCACCGTTTTGAACTTTCTTTGGCCTTTTCCTCCCCTTTTGTCTCCTCCTGCATTCTGTTTAGCAGATAAAGTTTGGCATTTTCTCTTTTCTGTTCATAAATGTCAGTGGATATTTATGTGTTCCTCTCATGATGCCTTGGATTTGGTTATCTTTCAGTGCTTACACACACATATTTAGAGTAGCCCATCTCCTTCCTTCCTTTGCTTTCAGTGCGTTCTCCCCTTTCTGCATTCCAGTCTCTTGCCTAAAGACAAAGCGGAGCGGGGTCTCCACCAGTGGTGGAGCGTGGAGGGCGACAGTGGTCGGCCACAGACTTCTTTAGTTCTGTTGCTATGAATTCAACTCTGTATCCATATTGGCTCTTAAACTCAATGACCAATAGCTCCATGACATACTTCATGATGTCAGAAAGCAAGGAATGCAAGGTTACAAGATACCGTGTATAACAATAGCACCCACTTGTACTGAATTAATGGACTTCTTTCAGTGTTGTGTGTTGTTGGTGTATCATCGTGCGTTCTTTCAGTTCGTCTCCAAAAGAATCGAAGTAACCGGCGTGCAGCACCGAGCAGCAAGTGTCTTCTAGCTGTGCTCTACTTTTTCTTTTTTTTGCTATTTATTTTCACATCTGATAATCATGTCTTGTTCTTTTTTGTAAAGCAATCACATGTTTTTGCTCCTCAGAAAGAACTCATAAGTGAACCTATTTAAGATGTGTCAAAAACAGGTGACTTCATAAAGTGCAATGTCCAAGCATTACTGTTCCAAAGTGCGAGCTACCTGCTGTGCCATGACAAAGATTTTTTTTGGGAAGTTTCCAACGTCAGCCCATTGTTATCTCGCTATGACCTGCTTAATCAGTGATTCACTGATCGATTATTCTTTACTCGTGATATATTGTCGCCTTTACCAATGATACCAGGCTGTAAGGAGAAGGGTAAAACTTGTGTAGAATTCTGAAATTATTTAGCTCTCACGCTTTTTTTTTAATTATTATTTTTTTTTGTAAATTTGATCTGGTTTTATATGTTTTGATTAACTGGAAGAGTTACTAATTACTAACAAACCTGACAAATTACATCTAAGGAGAATTTATTAACTTAAAGTGCATTTTGTTGATTGGCTATGTGAAGGCTTGTCCCTGAATTTTAATAATATGAAAGTGAACAATGTTCTAGTTGTGATTCAGTTATGACTTAACCTCGTAGGAGAATATTAGATTATTTAAAAAAAGTGTTTTGGCCTTAAGTTTGATTGGTTGTTGTCGTTGCACTTTGAATT